TCCTGTGGAGAAGAAAATAGATATAGAGTAGCCTGCTGGCTTGGAGTAGTAGGCACTTTCATCGATCTGTTTCCATGACTTTCCTTATAGATATATATATRTTTAGCAATATTGGTCTTCGAGTTCGAATGGGCTATTGACTCATACAGGCCATGAGGACGAGAGGGCTAATTGTTTTAGTCAAAGGCCACTAACAATTCTGGTAAAGAAATAGAAAACGCGCGTGTTTTGTGCAGCTATAAAGCACGTGGGGGTTGACAGAACACGAGAGAAGTGTTAGGAGAAGCACGACGAGTAGCGGGGTGCTTCTCGACACTTCCCGAGTGTTCTGCCAAACCCCAAGTGCTTTTATTGTAACTTCACACAGCAAGCAAGTTTTTTATTTCTTTTATGAAATACAAAATTACAATAACCGTTATTTTAGATAGGAATGACGCAACTGAAAGTTGCTCTCGTAAAGCACGCGCTCACAACCAATCAGAACGCAAGATTTATAACAGTTATTTTATAATGTACTATACGTAATTAGTCAGTGCCCTTTAACAAACTTTATTTTCGCTACTATGTCATGGTAACACTTTGGGTAACCCCTGGTGACCACGATGATCGATCCTGTGAGTCTTGTTTAATCAAAATACACCTGTTTCGCATTCGATGCATAACGCCGTGTTTGACGATCACAGGCTCATTTAACAGGCTTTCTAAGTTCAGCTATTCACAGATACCATTAAAAGTCCGTGGGATTTCAAAACATTGGTATTGTTCAAGCTGCACATTCTCTACTTCAAACTGAGCGGTGAGTGACCTTCGTTTGAATAACCTTTTTGTACCAAACAAAATCAAAAACCATAAGCACAAAAGAACGAGGTAAAACAGAGACTTGAGTTGTGAGTTGAGAATATGACGTCATCAACCTCCTGACTATCCCAAACTTAAAACACGAGCCAAAAATGTTAACAAGAAATGAAAAACGCCAGTTTTCTTCTTTTACAAAGTACTTTAACACGTGTTTAAATAGTAAAGATTGGAGACATCAAAATTTCATCGTAGTGGCACTTTAAGTTGACTATTCTTTCACGTGTGAAGTAAAACCACTCTAGCTCATTGTCGCCCCATATCAGTTGTCTATGTTTTCCCTTTAATTCCCCCCGGTATGGTGTCATTCAAAATTTACATTGTGTTACTGTACTACACTTTGTCAGATAAAAACTTTGTTATCCCTCTCTGCAGTTTTAATGTTTTCCACCCCCGGTGTCACTCATCAGCACTAGCTAAATGATGGTGCAAAAACTGACAAATTGTCAAAACGTATAAGCAGGCGAAAATTACTAGTCAATCTCTCAATAACCAGAAGCTTCATTTCTCAGTAAGATTTTCAGTAAGAACTAAAAGAGTTTTAAGCCCGACTTGCTTTGAAAAACCAACCGAAAAAAGCGTGCAGCATTATACAGAATGATTTCACAAGTACCGACCGATCAGCGCGCGAGTATATATGTTAGCCTGTATTAGCATAGCCTTCCAATCTAATGGAACCATGAAATATTTACATCTAGATGGATTCCCCTGGTAATTTTCCCCTTGTACAAACATTAGGTTTTAAAAGGAAGTCCCAAAATTTTTTCCAAACTTTTTGAGCTCCGAAAATTAAACTTTTTAAAAAAAAGTTAGTGACATAATATTTAGTTTAGAAAAAATGATAAAGCAGTAAAACTTTTACTTTCAACTACTGCTGTTGGTCCAAAGGATTGTGTGACTGGTTCAAACCCTTTGGATCACACATGAGAATGGACTACTTCGACGATACGGCGGCCATCTTGTCAGGGGGGTAATACAAAACAAAGATGATAGTTTCATGTGTTTGTCTTTCTTTTATTGGTAAAGGCCATCGATGTGCAGCCGTCTTAATTCATCTTTTGTTKTATTCTCTTTGTTACAATATCATTACTATAACAGTGCTTTATTTGCTCCACTGGGCGCCCCTTAATGCGGCTTGGGATCCAACGGATGACCGCCGTATCGTCGAAGTAGTTCATTGGGACTTCAGTGGAAGAATTTTGAATTTGAAACAAATTAGCAAGAAGATTTTGTCATTTGAGAAAGGATCTCAATATTAATATATGGGCAATTTTGATAAAGGTTCAATGAGTATAATCATAATCAAAATCTTCTAAAAGCTGTCTAAAGTTTACAGAGTGTATGGTTAATATGGAAGCTTGAAACTCTGGTTCCACCTTAAGCGAAACACGTTAAATTTTGTTGGTGAAGGTTTCGTTTCATGTTGCATACCAATCTTGAAATGCATTGTGAATCGTATGTAAACAATGTCAGCAAAGAAGAAATTATACCCGAAAACGTGCAGTGATAAATTTTGAGAAAATTCCACATCGTTGAGTTGTGTTCAGCTTGTAAGCTTAGAATTGTGTTTATTTGCACAGAAAATTGATCAGAATGTAGTATGTGCACGTGTGAGTGAAGGTTTCGTTTCACATGTTACGTCAACACCGCCATATTGTTAATATAAGTAACATGGCTGTCATGTCTTTTCATTTTACTCTCTAAGAAAAACTTAGCGTTTGCAAACCATTAATAAGTGTAAAGTTTATCCTAAACGATATTGCAAGGTATATCATGGTACCCCCTCTTAGTGCAAGGTAGTGCAACCCACAATTTTTCACGTGAGACAAGTTTGAGATAAATCCTGCCCGAGCGCTTTACAATCAATTTCACATTAGTCGTACTCTTAAATACCTCAGCGGATTGGAAAATTCACTGCGAGATAACCAAAGTTTTTCATTCAATTCTTACTTGTGCGAAGAGCGAGACTTTGTATCTATCTTCGTTTGATCTCCAACAAGCCGGTTAGGAGTATGAAGTTAAAATTCAATGCAAATTTCAACTTTGTTTCGCCGCGTACTTGGGAATTTCCCAAGGTTATTTTCATCCCGCTGCAGTAATTAAAACAATGTGAAAATGTCAGTAAAGCACTGGGGCGGGTCTTTAATCGAGAAAGAAAACGTACACGTCAGCACAGGTTTTTCCAAAGTTATTGTCTTGATTAGAGTTAATGAGATCCTGTCCTTCCCAAATCCTGAACTCTTTTCCCTTGGACACAGCAAGAGGTGGAGAAATGTCAGGGAACACGAGATCTGGACTCATGACCGTGAAGCCTGGTACACCGTAGCGCATCAAACTACTTTTCATATCAAGAGGGTACCCAGATGGAGGGGTGATTCTTGAGTTCTGGGTATCGGTGACGTGTAGTTCAAGGTGTGGATGGGGGTCTGCAGGAGCCAAAGTTCCCCAATTTCCTGGAGCTCCTCCATAAGAACTTCCATAAGCAGCAATTCCCCCTGAGATGTGAACGAGCTTGAAGGTCTTGACTTTGCCATCAACAGGAGCAAAGAATGTCCCGTAGCTGTCGTCTTTCGCACCAATACACACAGGAGCTGTGTTGGCTTTGATGACTGAAAGACAAACGTTAGATTTTAAAACAATTTAATAGAAGGAAATGCGATGCAATACCACACGCCCTAATCGAAAGATAACGAAACCAATGCAAATGCATAGYATAGCATTGGGTTTTTGGGAACTCTTCTCTCCTCAGTCAACCACCCCACCACTTCCTCCTCCCCCMCACCCCYCCCCAAATCAATCCCCCAAAGCTCCGCTACGCAGGCTAAGCTACAGRCAACTGTATACTTACTGCAACCGGTGAAGTTCAGACAGAGGGTGTTGCTCTGGTCACCAAGAGAGACACAATGTTGTGTGACCTTACAAGAACTTGATTCACACTGTAATTAAGAAAAGATGACGTCATGGGAAAAATGGCCGCCATTTTAAAACTCCAATATCTTTTGAAGGAAAAAAAATATTTGAAAAAGGAAAGTGACATTTCACTTCACTATCAAAGGTCTCTTAATTCACGGGGAAAAAACGAGTTTCTTGCTCGTGGACTGGTATTTCAACGACCTTTAATCAAAGAAGTGCGAAAAAACAACATATATTGAGAGAGATTTTGGACAGAATTAAAGGTTTTATAAGAATCTTTAATTCAGTCCAAAATCTCCGTCAAGATATTGTTGTTGTCTTTTTTATGAAAAATATTTTAAATGATAATCTGTTTAATTGCTTTATAGACAGGTATATATATACATGTTTCCCTAACCTTTCGTGTCTTGCATGTAGATCCTTTCTTCTTCTCCACCTTGTACTCTGCCGCACGATCCTTGTAGAGCAACTCACAAACCTTAGACGAGGGATAGTAGTTGAACATGTAGCACATGTCTGGTACAGCCAGGTGACATTCCATCTCACATTCTCTCTCATTCTTGGCTGTAATAGATGACATGATGGGGCCAACGATGGTGTGGTTCACTATGGTGTCACTATATTGTCTATAGGTGACCTTGGAACCAACATTGCAATCACCAGCTGAAAAGCAAATACAAAAATATAATCGGTCATGATATGAAATAATTACGAGACAACGCAAAATAACTCGAGAGGTTATTCAATAATACTTGTGCCATAAAGTAATTTCCTTAATGGTATTTTATTCGATCAAGAACGTCCTTTTTAACGCCTCATTTGCCGCACAAGAGGCAATGTCCCTTGAGGTATTCAAATATGCATCCCAGAGTGTGTTATGAAATGTTATGAAATATCAAACTCGTACATTCTGGTTTACCATGGATCTCGGTACTCCATGAGGCTGYTTAGCTATATGTGGTCGCTAATTTCTCGACACTGTATTCTAGGTATTCGCTGAAACTTGGTAACTCTCTGTTACATGAATAGATATTTGTCGTTATCCAAAAAATTGAGACGAAATGGTCCATATAAAAGGTCACTACTAAAAGTTTGTATTTTAACTTTGAACGCGGGATAGTTTTCTAGTGCTTGGCGTTTTCCATCATCCTTGGTCTTTTTGCTGGAGCTTCTTTGAGTATCTAGGTTTGGTCTACTGAACAGGTAAAATTAGAGTAATGAAACAGCATTCGTCTTGGTATCTGACTCTTTCGTACGTACAGATATTTGTGCTGTAGTCGATACTTGTTAATAGGAAATCGCACGATCTCGAGTACAATTCGGAATTGATATCAAAGATATGTGAGCATTCTTTTGAGAAAATCGCCTTCCATTGCTTAATGTGTTTTCGTGAGTTAAATTATTTTTTAAATAATAAATAAATAGAGAAGCTGATATTATAGCGACATAATTTATTTCTTTAAGCAAACCTATTAGTATCTTAACAATTCCAGTACCCTGCTATTTGGAAATTTCATGAAAGAAATGCGAACGTGGGATAGAATAACAAGATTGACAATGCTATTAACTGACAATCTCGTAGCCAGAGCCTGCGTTTCTTCTGGCCTGCGGCGAAGAACGAGGGCTCTGGCATAATCCCGTTCTTGAGACCAGGATTTCTTGGACTTCCGGTATAAGAGTGCAAGCGTTCAAAGACTTGCCAAAAATTAAAAACATAATATGTTCCCGATTTCTAATTTTTATTTTGATGGTAAATAAACACAGTACTTTGTTTTAAAGAAGTTTTAAAGCATGTTTTTCATTGATTATATTTCACTTCATGAAAATTGCGCATGCGCCAAAAAATGGATTACGCCAGAGCCCTCGTTCTTCGCCGCAGGCCAGAAGAAACGCAGGCTCTCGCTACGAGATTGTATTAACTGATTGAGATGTCATGAGCAATAAAGATCGAATTGCAATTATTCCTATAAGGTACTTATCAAAAATCTTTAAAAGTGAAGTTTTGAGAGCCGAAGTTTTCATTAGTTAACGATGGTTNTGACATTCCATCTCACATTCTCTCTCATTCTTGGCTGTAATAGATGACATGATGGGGCCAACGATGGTGTGGTTCACTATGGTGTCACTATATTGTCTATAGGTGACCTTGGAACCAACATTGCAATCACCAGCTGAAAAGCAAATACAAAAATATAATCGGTCATGATATGAAATAATTACGAGACAACGCAAAATAACTCGAGAGGTTATTCAATAATACTTGCGCCATAAAGTAATTTCCTTGTTGGTAATTTATTCGATCAAGAACGTCCTTTTTAACGCCTCATTTGCCGCACAAGAGGCAATGTCCCTTGAGGTATTCAAATATGCATCCCAGAGTGTGTTATGAAATATCAAACTCGTGCATTCTAGTTTACCATGGATCTCGGTACTCCATGAGGCTGCTTAGCTATATGTGGTCGCTAATTTCTCGACACTGTATTCTAGGTATTCGCTGAAACTTGGTAAGTCTCTGTTACATGAATAGGTATTTGTCGTTATCCAAAAATTAAGACGAAATCGGCAATTAGTCCCATATAGGCCACTACTGAAAGTTTGTATTTTGACTTTGAACGCAGGATAGTTTTCTAGTTCTTGAGCGGTGTCCATCAGTCTTGGTTCTTTTGCTGGAACTTCTTTGGATATCTAGGTTTGGTCTAACAGGTAAGATTAGAGTAATGAAAAAGTATTCGTCTTGATATCTGACTCTTTCGCACGTACAGATATTTGTGCTCTGACAAAATGTAGTCGATACTTATCTAACGACTTTCAAGGATTCAATCGTCATCAGTTGTTAGCATAGGAAATCGCACGATCTCGAGTACAATTCGGAATTTGTATCAAAAATATGTAATTATTCTTTAGAGAAAATCACCTTCCATTGCTTAATCTGTTTTTGCGAGTTAAATTATTTTTTTAAATAATAAATAAATAAATAGAGAAGCTGATATTATGAAAGAGGTGAATAGCGACAGAATATTTCCTTAAGCAAACATATCTTAACAATTCCAGTACCCCGCTATTTCGAAATTTAAATGAAAGAAATGCGAACGTTGGATAGAATAACATGGTCGAGTGGTCATAGCATTGGTCTCGCAATCCGGTGGTGCTGAGTTCGAGTCCCGCTGTGGCCACAAGCTGAGACTGTATTTGTCCTGATTAGTTCAAATTCAGCTTCTGGACCATGCTTGTAAATAGCCAACTTGTTTGCCTCCTTGCCAGTTGGGATTCTTAAAAAAACACTTTGTGTTTATTTGATTATTTCTTCATTACAGTTTCATTTCAGTGTCCCCAATTAGTCGTATAAACTAAATACATCGACACTTAAATACAAGTCTTTTTAACAAGGTTGAGAATACAATTACTTTATTGAGATGTCATGGGCAATAACGAACGAATCAAAATGCAATTATTCCTATCAGGTTATCAAAAATCTTTAAAGATTTGAGAGCCGAAGTTTTCATTAGTTAACTATGGTTCGATCGATTACGGTTCATCAAACTGAATGAATTTTGGTTGCATTTTCACAAATATATCATCTATATATTTTCACGTATTTTAGCTAGAAATAAGATTCAAGTTCTAATATTTTTTTAATGGCGACTAGCGTCCCGAACGAAAACACGAAATTCAGTTGTATTTTTAACAATTATTACAATTCTTTCCTTTTTTTAAGAAGGTAAAATGTAAGTTTATTAGGCCTGAGAAAATTGTTTCGATTGCTGAATCTTTTTTCGCGAGATGAAATGATTTTAATTTTGGATTAGTACATGACGAAATTTAGTTTTTCTTCGAAAACTTCGCAAAGAGGTAAACATTTTTGCTGTTACATTTTAAAAACTGGACTCAACCTTTTCTTTCTTTCTTTTCTCTTTTTCTTTATTTCTTTATTTCTTTATTTCTTTTTTCCTTTTTTTCCTTTTTTTTTAAGGATATTTTTCGCGATTGAAAAATCAATCCGTGAGACTGAAAAATTTTCTGACAAGATTTTCGAATTACTTATTTTCAGTTAGCTTAAACTTCTGTGTAACATATAATTTTAACTTATTTCGGAATTAATAAGTACAGCAATAGGCAAAAAACCCACATAAATTTTTAGATGTTCTCAATCGCCACTATTTTTAGAAAATACATCCGTATATTTAGAAATTGAAATTCGGGACCTCAATTTTTACTGATAATCTATATTATTTTTAAGGAATTTTTGGAGAGAATATTTGTATCCGTAGAAAAATTTAAGAAGTTACAGAATACTTACCAACTCTTGTAACTTCATTTACCAACATCACCATCAGTACATACAAATAGTTCAACAAAGTAACATCCATGTTGAAAGCTGAACTTGGTCTGATACACTTTGTACTCTTCTCAAGTTAAAATAATATGTCCTATCATATACTGGGCAAATTCACTTGATGATTCGGGGCCTAATTACAAGAATATGATTGGTTACTTTAAAGACATGGAATTTGTGTCGGTGAATTTTGCCTTGTATGTCTTGTATCCGCACGATAAAGGAGTATATCCGACTCGGCAATTTCAAAACTTTGAAAACACTCTTGATTTTATTCCTTCATTTTACTTGGCCCTTTACGTCGATTACATATGTTTATCTCAAAATATTTTTTTCGTGAAATTACTTTTGAGGGCGTGAAGATTAATATTTGATGTGAATTATTGATATTGTTATCATGAAGGTATTGTGGATTCTTTTTTCTTTTGTCAAGTGATTTGAAGCCCATAATTTGTTTTCAAGTTATTTCAAAACAAATCAAATCCCTTAAATTGAAATTGAAATCTTCATCATTTACGTTAAGACTAAAAAAACTGAAAAAAGTTTTGCTACTTGTAAATCTTTTTTGGATAATGAGTGAATGGCTTAAACTCGTTTCACCAAAACTCGCCGAATTTTTTTCAAATTAAGATTTGGTGAACGTCATTTAGTCTCCTTCTGCAGGCATCTCCTTGGGAATGCCCGGGCTTCCTGTGGAGAAGAAAATAGATATGGAGTAGCCTGGCTTGGAATGGTACCCACTTCCATCGAGCTGTTTCCAGGCAACATGGCTACGATGACGTAACGTACAATCGAAGAATAATTAGTCAGCGTCCTGTGAAAAAAACACCCGTGCTTTTTTCACGATGGTAGTACTTAGTAGCTAGTGGGTAACAAACCTGTGGCCCTCGTTCCGTGATCGAATTGGAATTTAGGAGTTGATTTTTGAGAAGGGAGGAAAGCCGGAGAACCCAGAGAAAACCCTCGAGGCACAGTAAAGAACCAACTGGAAACCCTGCTTAGATACGCGACACCAAACCCGGCGGGACTTGACCTCGGGTTGCATTGATGAGACGCCACCCGTGCTTAACAAACTTTATTTAAATACTATGTCATGGAAACACTTTGGTTGACGTCCGACAAAACCCCTGGTGGCCACGATGATCGATCCTGTGAGCCTTGTTTATTCAAAATACACCAGTTTCGCATTCGATGCATCATATCGCTGTTTTGGAAGACCACGGGCTTTTTTACACAGGCTTAGCCTCGCTTACTATAAGTCAGCTATTCACAGATACCATTAAAAGTCCGTGGGATTTCAAAACATTGGCATTGTTCAAGCTGCACTTTTCTTTGCATTTCAGTTGACTTTTATTGCAAATGATTTGCTCTTAAGCGAGGCTAAGCCTATGCAAGTTGTTGCAATATTCATTGAACATTTATTTTATATTCAACATCCGGTTTTGTATTCAATAAACACTATTTTTTGCTTCAAGGAGTTTCGTTTCACTGAATCGCTCAACATCCGAAATTTCATATCAAAATGAATCTGAATGTTTTATCTTTCGCTATTTTATTAGGCGACTGTGATTCATTCAACTTTATTCAATGAACATCGTGTCATATTCAATAAATCACTGATTTTATACTCAATAATTTCTCTGGGACTGAGTTGGTTGTGTTAATATGAAAATGGGTGTAACGGTTATCAGTCAAATACATTATCTTTTTAAAAAGTTTAATAGCGTTGGTTTGTGAACTAACAAAGGTAAACAAGGTAAATGAAGTCGAAAATAGATGTGGTGTTTATAAAAAATAGCATAAAAGTTTTGCTGAGGAACTTATAGCTTTTCTTAGCTACGTAGAGTGCAAACCGCGCGTGTATTCGTGAATTAGCACAAAAACTAAATCAATACCACTCAACACATCTATTTCTTTTGTATTCAATCGTTCATTGGTGCTATTTTGTACTCATTAGTTAGTACTATTTCACGGTTATACGGTTTGCACTCTATTAAAGCACTGGCTATTGACTATTGTGTTTTCGTCGAGTTTTGGGTGCGTTTTGTCGGTTGCTTAAGCACTCGAAAAGCTAGAGACTCATATGTTTCTTTCGTAAGCTTAGCAGACTCCCGCGTCCACTCAAAACTCGATGGAAGCACGCTTTTCAAGAGCAATGCTTTAATGTTAGGAAATGTTTTTTTTATTTACTTTAACATATTTATCGTAACATTTGCCCTAAAAGCAACGAGACTTAACAAGGGGGCTTACGTCTATTTTACAATATAAATAATAAATAGCAACAGCGTACAGTAGGAAATAAGTGCAATAAATACACAATAAATACAAATTAAAATAGTACAACAGTCTCATAATGAGATAACCATAGGAACAAAAGTATGTAGCATAAAAGTCGGATTAAAAACGATTAGTGGCTAAAATATATTTTTGAACTTCAGACAATAGTTTATAATTACTTTTCAAGTCTAATTCCTTAAAGCCATAAAGTAAACAATGTACACCTACTTGCAAGAACGTTGTCATACGAAAATAGAACATTAGTGATTTAGTGGGATAGGAATTATATTAAAAAACAAAAGAAGATCACTGAAGCTGAACTTTTTCTTTTGTCTTTTAATGTATTCCTTTCTCACAAAATTAATAATGTTCTATTCTCGTATGACAACCTTCTTGCAAGTAGGTGTAATTTTTGCTTTTAAATGTTTCCTACAGCGTTGTTACGATGTTGCAGCATGATATGGTAACCGATTAAACCACCAATTAGATGGCGAGTCACTTACTTAAAGATTCCCTTGATACTTACGCCCCTTACAAAATGAAATTACCTACAGCAACATTCACATTCACTAGTTACTAAAAAGTGAGGATTTTTTTCCAGCCACAACTCAGGTCTCATACCTTAAGCATGCAAAATGTTATTTGTTTTTCGGGTGAGAAGCATGCTATGGTACAAGGTGTGCTGCACCATGCTCAGAAACATCAGTCGTATGGCCTTTTGTTTACATTATATTTGGTTATTGTATTTTATAGTGTTGTTCATAAACATATACACCGTTCTCATAATGGTAGACAATTGTACGAAAACGAGGTCATTTAGTTAACAATAGTCCCCTTCACAGTTCCCTGCGCCATCTTGAAAGGTAACCGTGCCTTTGCATCAAAGCGAGATGAACGGTGAGCTCGCAATGATAGAGACATGTGAATAATTGTCCAAGGTGTTAAAAAAAGGTCTCTATCATTGCAAGCTCACCGTTCGTCTCGCTTCGATGCAAAGGCACGGTTACCTTTTAAGATGGCGCAGGGAACTGTGAAGGGGACTATTAAAGGACAAGGACAAGGATAAGGAGTTAAACAAAATGGTAACCTAACCTTCCCTTTTATTCTCCTTCCCGCGTCACTGGTAGCTATCCTCAAGGTTAATTAGTATCGTAGTACACATACACATCAGCACAGGTCTTGCCAGTGTTGTTGTTTTCGGTAATATTTACTATATCCTGACCAAACCAAATTCTGAACTCTTTTCCTTTGGTCACAGCAAGAGGTAAAGAAATGTCAGGGAACACGAGTTCTGGACTCATGTTGGTGAAGCCTGGTACCTCATAGGTCAATACACCATCTTTCCAAAGGATAGGATAGCCCGATGGGGGAGTGATTCTTACATTTTGGTCATCCAAGACGTGCATCTCCAGGAGTGCTGGGGAAAGAGTGCCTCTAGAAAGAGTTCCCCAATTTCCTTCACGAGGAGCGCCAAAAAAGCTGACTCCTCCCGAGAGGTGAACGAGCTTGAATGTCTTGATTTTCCCATCAGCAGGAGCAAAGAATGTCCCGTAGCTGTCGTCTTTCGCACCAATACACACAGGAGCTGTGTTGGCTTTGATGACTGAAAGACAAAAGTGAGCTTGTAAAACTGACACTGTTGAAGAAAAACGAAAAGCGATGCAATATCACAGGCCAACAAATTATCACCAACCGCAACAAATATCTATAGACCACCCCTTGCGTGTGACGTTAAAGTAGGACATGAAAACGAAAGAATTTCAATGGCTCTAGAGCATTGGAAACCTATTGTTTTGCCCTCAAGATTGAGCTGCATTCTGAAGTGCTGCACATTTTTGCTGTTCCTGGCATAAGCACTTCAATGTGGTTCAAATACTTTAATGGCCCTTTCTCAAATTTATCGTGACTGACAAGACATACAAACTCAAAAGAACAAAATAAGAAACGCCTCAAAATAAATCGAGTAAAAGTGTGATTCCTTTAGAAATTTGTATTTTGTCAGCCCTGGTACCAACGATAATTTTGAAAAGGCTCCATACCACGACAACTGCATACTTACTGTGGCCAATGAAGTTCAAACAGAAGGTGTTGTCCTGGTCACCAAGAGAGACACAATGTTGTGTGACATTGCAAGAACGTGATTCACACTGTGTAAAGATACAAACAAGAACAGGTAAAATGTTTATACTCTGTCTATATCCTAAAACATAATGATAGTGGCTACATCAAGGAAGAGTTTTAAATATCTTCGCTAGTGCACTTTCCTAACTCGACTTGAGCTCTCTCGATAGATATTAGAATAGAGAAGTCAGTGCCACAGCAGCAAAGTTGTAGATAGGATTWAAAAAATTTAATTTTTAATTTAAAAATGAAATATCCTTCTTGGGAAATGAATTATCATCCCAACCAAACAAACGCATTGCATTGTTGCTGTGCCATGACAATCTTGAAACCACTCCGTAGGACTATAGTCACTAATGACAACAAAAATTCGACTTTTAACCAATGTGTTAGTGTTATGGGACAACCGCTCTCGGTACGAGCTCCGGGATCTTTATTCTACTCTCTGTATTCTCTCTGTGTTCAACTAATTACATGAGCTCTATTTATAATAATTCTATGACAAGTGTCAGTCTCTAATCAATGTGATAATATTGTTGAATCATGATTGGCTAAAAGAATGAGTAAATTCCTGAGCGTGATATCGTAATAACGAGCAAAACGAGTGAAAATCTTGGAACTAAACATATATGTTTAAACGAAAGTTGCATGTAAATGTATAAAAAAGGCTACAAGGAATATTTCTATCATGAGATTTAAAAGAATAGTGCTAAAATAACTAAGCAAAGGGGTAAAAGGCCTAGGTGTGTAGGGCGTAACCAGAGGTACAAATGCTAATGGGGGGAGCTAAGAGGTTTACTCGTGAATTCAAAGCATACCGTTATTTAAACTTGTGCATGATGGCGCAGCCTTGCTGAAATCTTAAGCTTATATCGATATTTTTATATAACTAATTGATCGTTCTTTATCCTGTTTTCATACGATAAGAAATAGTAATTAGAAAACTGATGTCTAGCTTAGTCTGTAAAAATCCTAATTTTCCCCTCTCTCATAACATTAGTTTCCAATAACTATCTTTTGACTCGACTCCACGACGATATGAAATCGGTTCAATTGGTATGTTTCCCCTAACCTTTCTTGTCCTGACTTTAGATCCATCCTTCTTCTCCAGCTTGTATTCTGCTGGACGATCCTTGTAGAGCAGCTCACAAACCTTAGACGAGTGATAGTAGTTGAACATGTAGCACATGTCTGGTACAGCCAGATGACATTCCATCTCACATTCTCTCTCATTCTTGGCTGTAATAGATGACATGATGGGGCCAACGATGGTGTGGTTTACTATGGTGTCACTGTATGGTCTATAAGTGACATTGGAACCAATCTGGCAATCACCAGCTTAAAAAAATCAGAAAGGTGTTTGAGCTAAAGCGTTTGATAATCAAATTGTATTATCGCTTTTAGCTTATCGCTTATTGGGCGATGACAACGGTTTTTTGAAATATGAATATAGGTATACTTTTGAACTCGGAATCTGTCCTTGAAATTCATTGACTTTAGCTTACGAATACGTTATACCGGCGAGGTCCTAACTTAAATAAAGTAGTTGTTGAAAATTGTTCTTACCCGCTAAGTTTTCTAAAGATGTAATTTGAAATAACTTGAAGAAAGTGTTGTCCAAACTTGTCTACTGAACAACATCATGAATAGTTAATTGTGTATCAAATCATGACATGAATCGTTCATAAAAATTAATAATTGATTCGCCCCGTATTGACCCTCAGTTCTATACTTGTGGGAGGAAAAGGAAGAAAGTTTCTGAAAGTTGGTGAAAGTGAAGGATCTAAACTTTAAAATGTAGCTTTTTGCTTTGGGATCAATTTTTAAAATGCGGCCGAACAACTTTAAACGGTGAGACAACCTGCGTTGTACCGTTTTACTGAAGCTGGTTCAGAATAATATGCACAGACTAAAGTCAATCAGAACAATAAAGCTGGCCCGAGTATGACTCCGTTGAATAACGCTCGATTTTATAACAGTCCGCAGAAAGTAGGACATAAAAAGTGGCTGTCGATCAATATTAATAGTCAAATCTTGTTATAGTTAGAGGCCTCGGTGGCCTCTTCCAACATAGCGGGGTTTTATATTTGGTATATATAATAGAGAATAAAGAATAAATCATAGGAAATAATTCTCAGTTAGGCCGTAATACACTGTCGAAAAAAACCCCAAAGATTCCTTAGAGCCGGTTAGTAATTGTTAAGCTTTTGACTGATACTACATACCTTCTAAAGTGTCCGCTACTACAGCGAAAGTTCTACGGTTTGAAGCACTGTGGCTTTTTTATGTTATGAATTTGTAAATTATTTTAATAGCCTCGTTTGACGAACTGAACACGGAAATAAAGTAAATGAGGTTTGATGTCTGAAAATATTTCAAAATATTTTGCTTTTTTGTGTGAAAAATGCTTTGGAACCAGTAATAATGATACCTGACCACCATAATGTTAGTAGTTCATTTTAACTATTGTTGCAAACACGCATCTGCTCTTCAAATAATACGTTATTCTACAGTCTATGCTCACCAGTCCTTGTAAGTTTCGCAGCCAGGGTGAGCAATACGAAATACAAGTAATTTATACCAACAACATCCATGATTTCAACAAAGCTGTYGGGATGTTTTGAACCTTTCTGAGCACTTCTGAGAAATGCGAAAAAAGCATCCGTGTTGCTTAATAAATAGTTGATGTTACATGAAACTGAGTAGGAGTGAACCCTTTGTTAAGCCCCTAGCAACTGGGCGCTTGTCACTAAAAAATAAATATTGTTATTCATAGTTATATACATGAACCTTTCTCGGTAGTGGGTTAGTGGCTTCTTAGTGTTTTTTTTAACTAAGCAAACCGAAAAGACAAAAGACGCACCAGCACAAATTAACGAAGTACAAAAGAGTACAAAACAAAACAAAACAAAAATGAAATGAAATGAAAAGGAGTTCCAAGGGCTTGAGTTAATGGAAACGCATTTATTTGCATCCATCATGTCCTAGCAGGCTACTTTTTCCAACGTGATAAAGCATTTACTAGTGAATGAGAAGCCACGTCTGAAGCACTCCTCGCTCAATACGTCTGTAATCATAATTACTATACACGACCTACACAACTACTTATAATCCGAGTTGCCTTAGTCCCTAGCTAAGTTTACAGAAACATGTTTCCCGCGCGCATGTTCCCCGATGATTCCAAGTTTAGCCACATGCGAAACATTGCTGCGTGCAACAAATTTTGCTTCCAAGACGCAAAAATGTTTCTGCTGTACGGCAGAAGCATTTCATGCTTCCAAGACTCATGGAAACAATGTTCCCCAATGTTTCCTCGTTTAGCCACGAAAGTCAACATTCTAAAAGTTCGTTACTTAGCAAAGCTAGCTCTATCTTGAAAGTGCGCATACGCTAACCGATATTGAGTAAACATGTTCCCGATGTTCCCTGACAGTTTTGCCACCTTTGGAAAAATTTAAGAAAACATGTTTACTCGTTTAGCCAGGGCCTTAGACTTGCTCCAATCCTCGCTCCGCTATTTCTTTCCGTTTCAAACTCGGATTCAAATAGTGCACTTCCTCGGAAAGCCCTCGTAACCGGAAGTGCACTATTTGAATCCGGGTTCGAAACGGAAAAAAAGAGAAAGAGACTTGAAGTAAGTTTAGAGTTGTCTAGGTTTTTGGTATCTAAGTTATTGTCAAGATAATGACACGTGGTCTGAAATGGGGAAACTTTACGTCAAAAGCTAAAGAGGTCTATAGAACACTTGCAGTACGTGTTATACGTCGGAATGGAAATGAATAGGCCTTTTGTACAAGCAGTCACGTGCTGATATATGACTTTGATAACAAATTTTGCTCAAGGTCCCTTGGGGAAGGCTCTACTGGATGGCAAACAAACTTTAAAATGCTTCGTATCTTGAAATCGAAAGTATCTTATAAGGGGAAAAAAAAGTATTTTTGAAAAGGTTTAGGATACGACATTAGTAATCCAGGGAAAAAATCTTTAAATGAAGGAAATCCAAATTTTTTTGTCATCCAGTAACAATCACGTGTCAATCTAGTGCAAAAGACCTATTTGGAAGACAACAATAGGTTTCAAATTCTCAGGAGTTTGAAATTATTTTGTTTTGTCCTCCAAATTGAGCTGCTTTGACTTCCCATGAAAGGGGGTCTATAAAAAAAAAACGTCTATTGAATTCCAATTCGGATTCCCTACTCGGGATTGATATTCATGCAGTTATTGTGGAACAGGTTTTCCGGGTCATATTGTTGTTTTAGTTGCTTCAATTTCTCCAGTGCTTGTTCAGCATCCCCTCCACTATATGGAGCAATACCATATGGGGCATTAATATCCTGAACAGATGATACCCATTGCTCAAGGGCGTCCATGTTGTTTGCATCGTTAGTTGTGCCATTCATTCCTATCCAGTAACTGGAACGTCGAGAAAGAAAACTTTGTATAAAAGAACTGTTATATTTATCGCCTTCTCATTAGTTGCAAGGGTGCAAGCTTTATGAGGGCACAGCATGAATGTGCGCTTTTTTTTCGCTATTCGTATGTCAAAAAAAACGCCTATGAACATTATTCGTCGTGCCGCAATGTTTTCCCATTTCAGACCGAGTGCCATTCTCTTGATTATCATTTCTTTGTTTAACGGTTGCGCATGAGAAGACGCATGAATATGGATACAACTTAAACAAAGAATCTTATTCAAAAAATGACACGGGGTCTAAAAGGGGTAAACGTTGCACCACAAAGAGTAAGGTATATTTAGCAATTATTCGCCGAAGGCGAAGTGAATATTGGGGAATATTTACCGAGACGCGAGTTTTCGAGTGGCGAGGTAAATATTCCCCGATATTCATTGAGCCTGAGGCGAATAATTGTTTTAGCATATACCAACTTGTGTACAGAGTAACTTATTTTTATATACAATAATTAAATAAAAACAATCAAAACAGAAACTTAGTTTGCGAAACTTTTAGTATTTTAGGCCATACTTCGTTGCCTTTTTAGTTTTGATAGGAATGGCATTTACTTTCATTTTTTCGATTTCCTCATCGGAAATTGTATCTTTTTATCCTTAATTGATGGGTTGCAAGCATAACCAAGAGAGGTAAAAGACAAAAACATTGCGGCCATTGTGGTACCGTTAACAATGGATCATCGGAAATTGTAGCAAAACGATTGCCGGCAGATGCCATTTTGTTGCCGACTCAATATTCCGAGATTCGTACAATATATACAATATTCGTGAATATCGTACAATATTCACCTCCAATTAACCAATGAGCGCGCGCGTTCTTAGGAAGTACACAAGTTGGTATATGCTAATTTAATTTGTATTTCATAAAATATACATTAAAAACCTGCTTTTTTTGTGTGTTGTTTGTAATGTGTAATTATGATTGTTTATAAATAAATAAATAAAAAATAAAAACCTGCCCACTATATGCTGCTACCAGCTATATTGGCAAAACTCTTCACTATGCATCGTGCTTCTCCTAACACTTTTCTCCAATCCGCAAGTGCGCGCATTTCTATTTTTTCATTTAGAATAAAAAGGTCTTACCATGCATTTCCACGAAATGGAAAAGAACTGGTTTCCAACTCAACTTCGTTCGCTTTCCCACCCGTAGTAGTGATGTAAATGATGGTGTCAGTATATGAATTGAAATCGCCAGGAACTTTGTGAATGCCATCGATCAGGTTGTCCACGACTTCATCTTTCAGTTCTAAAATAACCAAGAAAAAGAAAGTAATGGAACAGATGGTTTTCTTATTTATATTTATTTGGTACGTGGCTCTTCCGTGAGGTTCACTCCACACGCACTGCCACAACATTATATATTTACAACAAACAAGACTAAACTCACATGTTGCTTTTTACGGAGGGAGGAAACCGGAGAACCCGGAGAAAGTTAACCCCCTTAGCATAGGAGAGAACAGCACAACAAACAAACAAAACTCACGCATACCACAGGCGCGGATCCAGGATTTTCAAAAGGTGGTTGATTTTTTTTTTTAATGAACATCTGCCAGGAATTTTCGAATTTGAGACGCACAGTAATGGAATTTTTTAAGCATTTAAAGTTGTTAAAAATTATTATTTCTCATCAATCATTTCCCTTTTGTACATCCCCCCCCCTCCCCCAACATAACAGATACTCTAACAACTTAATTATGAAATTTGAAGACATAACTGCTCTGAAAATTCACCCAATTCATCCCCCTGGATCCGCTCCTGTACCAGCTTGGGCGAGGGGGCCGGGACCCGCAATGCAGACCTCCTCCCACAAACCTAGTATTGGTGAAAGGTCAATGCATTAGAAGCACAGTAAAAAAGTATTCCTGGTAAAAAGTATACCTGGTAAAAAGTGACCAACGCTGCCTTGTTGAAACCTGCCCCTTGGCAGCAGTAAGTCTCCTTGTTTCTGGAACTCGCAATGTGGTATAGGGTGGCATGTGTTTTTGTATGGACGGGTAAGATCTTGAAGATCTTGCACAATTTCTCCTCCTTTTCTCAGAGCACCATTGTAGTGTAGTCTAATTAGTAGCTCAGGCCTGACAAGGGTGAAAAACAAGATAGGGTTAGATTTAAGGGCATGATGGATGGTGGTGGTGGTGGCTGCTCTGCTCTGTTAATTCTGCTCTGCTTTGCTCTGCTCCCTGCTCCCTGCTC